GACACGTTGCGAAGGGGATACAGCCAGCACAGCTGACCTGAACTGACCAAAATAATACCATGTAATGTCATGTTCAGCAATAAACTCTGGCAGGGGGAGTTTCTCCAAAGTAGCTGTTGCTCAGAGACTGGCTGGGCATTGGTCTGCTGGTGGGAGGTGCTGAGTGATTGCTTTTGCTTCACCCTTATGGGTCTTTTTTTCTTAATTTCTTAAGCTGTCTTTATCTTGACTCTTAAGTTCTTGGGTTTTGCCCTTTTGATTCTCTTCCTCCATCCAGCTGCGGAGGAGTGACTGACTGACTGACTGGCTTAGTGGCTTAGCTGCTGGCTGGGGTCACCCCACCACAGTGGGTGAGCATAGACAATACTGTCTGGTCTTGTGCCTTCACTGACAGAAAGTAGTCATCCTCCCAAAACACACCTGATACATACTGTGCTAATGGTACCCTGTGCTGCAGCCTGTTGTGGCTTTATCCCTATCTTCTCTCCTTTATTCTTTTCAGGAGTATGTATATCCAGATGCCAGAGACAGACAGTACTTGTTATTTTTCCATAAAGGAGCCAAAAAGACACGATTTGATCTAGAGAAATACAATCAACTCAAGGATGCAATTGCTCAGGTAACAAGAGTTTTTCCAGAAATAAGACCAAGAAATTACTGCTTGCTAGTTCTTAGTTACTATTAATAGATGCACCTCAAAGAAGAATGAATGTATCTTAAGTTTTCAGCCCATTTTCTTGTCGCAGCCCCAGTGAAATCACTGTAAATTGGCTTTGATTTGTGCAGGAATAGAACTGCTGGATGTGTAAATCAAAATGAAACGGTTGCCTCTATCTGTCTGTAAGGGCCTTTTAGAAACTGCTGGCAAATCTTGAGTTGCTTCAGGCACTTCATGCCTCAGAGGAGCCTAATTCAAGATTTCCTTTCTTCTCAGCTCCTACACACCAGATGGATTTAGTGAGGAATGAAGACTTGCATCCATTCAGTTCATGTCTTCTTGACATAGCACTTCAGTGCACCAGTTGCAGTCCTGGAAAATAATGTTCAAGAAATTTAGCTGTATTGTTAGTGGCGATGGGGGCAGATTTCTCATATTCTGGAGGCAGACACTTTTGGCAGACTGTCCACGCTGTGGGATCTGTTCAACAAAGGAGTCGGGTAGAGACCTTTCCTCATGTTTCTGAGAGAGTTTCTGCAGAAGGATGGTGTAAGCAGGAAAAGCAGAGCTACCACAAGCTTTTTCACTGCTCCGTATCATTCTCTGTTTATTCCCAGGCTCTGGAAATGGCAGTGTAGGATATGCAGGGCAAGATGTGTTCTCCTTCTGCCTTGGAGAAGGAGTTGCATGAGGAGTAGAGGGAGATCAGGGCTAGGCTCTTGGTTTCATGAGAAACCCAGAAGGACCTCTGAGTTTTCTCATGCTGTGCTGTATATGGATAACCTTGGGTGGCTGTATTTTCAGGGAGTGTTTCTTCTGGAATCAACCATTCCCGTTTATCTAGTTGGGTTTTTGGTGGCATTTTTGTTTGGTTTTTTTTTTTTAATGTTCCAGTGAGGTTTCTAGGCATCATATCTTCCCTACCATATTCCTTTTTAAGTGTCTGCGTGGAGGCAAGTTTAGAGAGATACAGAGCAAGTGTCTTTAAGTGCTGAGAATAGTTTTCCCAAATATGAGCCTGTGGCTTTGTTTTATGTTTGAACACTTCCCTTCTGGACAGGAAAAACAAGGAAATATGGGAAAGCTTTCTGTGCTGTAAAGAGGAATGGTATTGGGGAAGGTGTATTGGGAGCTTGTTCTTTATAATGTGTCTTTTACTTTTAGGCAGAATTGGACCTTAAGAGGCTTCGAGACCCACTGCAGGTTCACCTGCCCATCCAGCAAATTGATGAAAAGGACTGATCAGCAAAGAAGCTCTGAACCCCGGCAAAAACCTGTTCATAGCTCTTGCCTTTTTAATTAAAGCATTGCAGGTGGAAGCTGGGAGGTGGTATGGGGGTGGAGGGTTTTTACCTTTAATCAAGACAAAGGACTGTTGGGGGGAAATCTCTTAAATATGAAGATGGGACGTTGTGGAATGTTAGTTCTGAAAAGGGCTTGGCAAATAGTCACATTTAAAACCTGTCTGAATGGCAATTGTGTACAAATACAGGATTGGGGGGGTTCATGAAAAGAATGTAATGCTGGTGTGTTAGGGGGGTGTCTTCTTCCAGCTTTGCAGGGTCTGCCTCTTGGTAAGACACCAGCAGCCTGCTTAGCTTTTTTAATTTTCCTTTACCTGATTAAGATCTCTTTCCCTCTCAAAAAAAGAAAAAGGAGAAAAACAGCAAAGAATTCAAGCCACTTGGAGCTATGGCTGGTGATCAGAACTTGCTCCACCACCATTAACACGCACACTTCTGATCAGACCCGCTATCTTTTATAAAGTTAATACAAGACTGCTTTCTACTGGAAAAACATGAGCTTCCACTTCCCAGCTCACCCCATGTGCTCCACTGACTTCCTCCTTTGCTTATTTGTAGCACAGATTGGTTGTAGCCAAGTGAGAGAAGGAATGAGTTTTCTTCTGGACATTTGATAATTGATATTTTGGATTATTCCATAATAACTATAGAAACTTTACGTCCCTTGAGCTCCTTCTAGAAATCAATGGCAGCATTGCATGAGAGGTTTTTTATATTCAGTCTTAAGGGAGGGAGATTCCCCTCTTCCTACCCCAAATCTGATAGCCACCTGGACTGTGAAATTATGAAGGCATAAAGGATTATGAAACTGTCACAGAATCATGACTCCTACTTTTAAATGAACAGTTTTGGAACATGGAATAATTAAACTTGATCTTTGATTGCTTGTGTAACAGGATAAAAGGTCTCATATATGGTCAAAACATTTTCCTTGCCCAGAGACTTTTTGAAAGCCTGGGGCTCTTACAGTGCAAGACACAGAACTATTTCAGTTCTCTAGCACTTCACCCTAATTAAGTAGCTTTAAATGAACTTTGCGTCCACAGGTCAGAATTTCTTAGGAGTGGCTAATGACATCTCTTGTTCTTAGCTAAAAGAAATAGAGGAAGGAAAGTCAACCCATTGCCCTCTCTTCTAGCCAAGGCTAGCTGATTTCTAAGCAGATAAAACATCTCTTCATTCAAAGCAGGTCAGTCTGTTTTAGCATCCTGCTGATAAATACTGTGGAGACAGGATGAAGGTGCGAGAAGGGCACTAAGCTCTGTATACAGAAAGGCTGGCTGCTTTTTTGATGTTTCACTACTACTCCTCACTGTGTCATGGAAAGAGGCTTCTGGGTTTTTTTGGAGAACCATGTTTTAAAAATAAAATAGGAAAGAAAAAAACAAATCAGTATTAACTAGACGCCAGGTGCCTTGCAGATGTGGAAACACAGCTGGGATTGCTGCCTCTTCTCACTCAGTGGCATGTTGGACCGAATGGGTGCATGTTTCTAGTTTTGTTTTTTTTCTCCCTTCCCCTTTTTCCTCTGTCTTTCAATTTAATTACATTGTGTGATTATTTTTTATCTGTTTTATCCTGTTTGTGTGGTGAGTTTTAAAGGGAAAAAATTGAACACGATCCTGTAGCTGAATCCTTGGTGTGTGTTTGGGATGAGGGAGGGAGCATGGAGAAAAGTCCTTCTTTAAAAAAAAAAACAACAAAACAACAAAAAACAAAAACCGAACATGTGTAAAATCCTGTATCATTTATGAAATATGTATAAAAGAGCAATGTACTTCTGGAACAATAAATAACTATTCAATTTTTGAATCAGTGCTCTTGAATAACGTTATTTTGCCCATCTGAGAAAAGAACATTCTCTATGTGGTAGCTGTCTCCTGAGTTTCCTCCAATTCTTCTTGTTTAGGTTATTTCTTCTTGACCTTACATCACCGAGGCTGTGGTGATGCAGATAATAGCCTTCCTGAAGAAGCTCGGATGGAGATCTTGCTGTCTGCCTAGCTATGTAACACAGGGATCTTGGGAGCAGTTGAGGTAGAGATGTTTGGTCTAACAAAAAGCTGCCTTTGGCCAGCATAGTAGCTCCGTGTGGAGGCTGACAAAATCTGGAGATGTGTGGCAGGTTGCAGGATAAGAATATGTATGGGTGTATAATGCCCTGCAACCTAAATGGTACCAAGTGGTGTCAGTGTATTTCTATACTGCATTCAAGTGCTGTTTCAGAGGAAAAGTGACATTTTAAGCTTCTGTTACTTTTTTTTCTGGGCCCTTGAATGGCTGAGGTCTGATTTGTCATGGTGACGTGTCATTCATTAACTTTGGGCATCAGCAGACTGCACTTTGTCCAAACTTTACAGGACATTCAGATGAGATGTTTGGTGCCAGAATGTTTTTTATCATGTCCATTGACTGTTTAAAAAAAAATAAAAATCCATGATTGGCCATTTTTAAAACAGCCAACACTCTTGTGTTTTTAAAGGTGGAAGGGAGGGACTGGAAGCAGTTAGTTGTTGTGACGTGCCTTGAATCACTGCTGAAATTCAGTTCAGCCAGTGCTGACAAACCCTCTTCCTCCAAGCAGCCCTTAGTTTGCTGCTGTGTACAGATGAGCTGCTGCCCTCCCTAGACAAATTGCTTGGATCGATTGCATAACTCATCATCCATTTTGGCATCCAGAAGAACTGCAGACTTTGATATCTAGCGCCACAATCCCTGTTTTGAAAACAAGAAAATACTCTTGACAAAATTGTTCCTGCATGTGCTTTAATGTTGTTCTAGACATGATGTGGGAAAACGAGTTAAAGAAGAGTCTAAAACTGTACCCTGAAGCAGGGGCTGTCCGGCGGATGTTGTTAGTCCCCCTGGAAGATTGCTGTCTCGTGCCTAGGACCCAGGGTCCTGTCCCCCTGCAGCAGCCCTGCTGCCTGGATGCTAACATAACACGGCTTTCTTAGTGCCCTGTGGAGGATAAACAGCAGCGTGCATTGTAGTGTTCTGATGCTGCTTTTTCTACCAACTTTTGTTACGCATTTGGTTAATGTCTCTTCCTTCTTTTACTGAGGGAGCTTTCAAATAAATACATGTCAAGTTCTAAATTGCCTGGAGAAATATATCGGGTTTCCTTTTTGCCATGCCTGCGAGGCTCTACCTCACGAACCTCTCCAGGGGAGGTGTTCATGGCTCCTTTTTCCTGAAGAGCAAAGAAACACTTTTTCTTTTGGCCTCCAGCCCTTCCTACCTGGCAAGCAGTGGTGATGATCACCTTGCTGTAAGTTCTTGCACTTCCATGTTGACTCGAAGAGGGTCTGCAGGGTGCTCTGAAGCTGCGGTTGGCTGTCAGACCTTGGCACTATGTCTGTCAAGTGACGCTGGCCAAGTTGCCCTGTCTTTCTGAGCCAGTGGACAATTTCTTTCATCTCCTCTGTGTATTTTGTGGGGGGCTCTAAATGCAAACTGCTTTCCTCTGTGCCACATTCTATGACTTTATTTTCACATAGGACAGAGATTTTTTTTTTCTACCTGTGCTAAGAGATTCTGATTATTTCCTTTTAGGGAAAAAAAATGTTTCTATAGGGACATTAAAGGAGAGAAAACTAAAATACAGGAGTGGAAATTAAACTTGCAGTTTAAATCCTGAAGTATGGGAGAAGCTGGTGTTATGTTGTGTCATTGTGGCTCTGTGCACTTGTACAAGGTGGGTCCTACTCCTGCCTCTGCCCCTGACTACTTTTGCAATAGTGGCAAGCTGTCTGTGCCCTAGTTCCTCCATCTAGGAATTGAGGATTGTGGACAATACACTGTGTTCTGTAGGACCTGTGGGAAAACGCTCTCAAAGCACCAAGTTCTGCTTCACAGGGCTTCTTCACTAAGGAAAAGGAAGTAACTGCTGCTCTTTGCTAGGAGTTCTGTACTTGTCTGATTTTAACGGAGTCTTGGCATTTTACTCTTCTTGTGTTGAGTTTGCTCATACTTCACCAAACTCCTGTGCGCTCTCGGATCTCAGCAGCCTTTCCCATTGGCACCGTGTCCTGGGACATGTTGTTTACAGCAACACGGCCTATATCTAAGTCCTTGACATTCGTGCAATCCATCTCAGCAGCGTGTCAAGGCTTATTGTGAACATACATCCTCCTATCAATCGCAGACAGGGGTCCTGTAGGGCTCTCCTCTGTCCCGGCAGCAGGAAGTGCTGATAAGCTCATCCGCCTGCTCCCTCGAGGCGAGCTGTAGGATTCTTCACACACCTCACCTTCCTCAAGCGTTGGCGTGTCTTCAGAGGGGGCTCTGGCAAAGACAAGGCCAGCTTCAGAAAACACCAAAGCATCTTTACTCGTTAGTCCATTAGCACAAGCAGGATGAGCACTTTCCAGCCTAACAAGTGCTTTGAAGGATTTGAGTCCCTTCTGTAAGGGTGGGAAAGCCTTCTAAATCTCTGGGAGGGGCAAGAAGTGTGGTTGCCACCTGCAAAACTAGCATCCTTTCTTGCATTAAAAATAGACATACCTAGGCTTAGACAGCAGCCGGTCTCTTGTGTGCCAAAATAAAATTCCAGTTCTCTCTTTTAATATTGCTTTCCCTCTTCATGTCTTTTAAGCCATATTGATGACTACTTTTAAGAAATACTAACTTGATCCTGATTCTTCTTACTGCTTGGGAAGTCAGGATCACTTTGGGGTGGGGAACAACAGATGTACCAGATCTGCCTAGAGGGTGCAGGCCCTACAGCATCTAGAGTACTCCATTGGAACTGTATCCTCTCTCCCTGGGGGTCTGTTTGCAGAAGGGGGTTTTTTGGTTTTTTTCTTCCCCCCTTCCTTACTTAGTAATAATTGCTCCAGCTCCCCGAGGCATAGATTTGCAGTGGCTTACTCTAATGCAGGCTACTATTGTTTGTGGGGGAACTGGAGCTATTAATGTAATCCAAAATAACTTGGAAAGCAAAGAGAAACTGTTGATAGAAGAGTTGCATCTGCTGGTGCTTTTGTCAGAAGACTGAGATGGTCTTTGTCTTGTGGATTCCAAAAATGTTAGAGGTGGCGCACTGACTCTTCTCCGTCTTTAGACTGAACTAGCAGTTACGGTGATTTTGGGATAGTGTCATTGCTGGGAATGCTGGGGCATCTCCTGATTTAATCCATTTTAGAGAACTTGATTTGTGACACCTTTGAGGCTCAAAACTGCTATGATGCTGTTCATTTCTCGATGTTAATTGTCAGTCGCTTACATATAACTGTCAAAACATTACTAATGTCAGGCCTAGTATACCACCTACAAATATAAAGGCATCTGATAACGAAATGGTTCAGATAAATATACACACCTCTAACGCAAACGGAAAATTCAATTCAAGCTTGTCAGTTTTATTTACCCAGGATCTTAAGTATGAATCAACATTTCAATGTAAATGGCAAAATATAACTTCCTGTGGCTTGCTGTATTACACTCCGTTCAATTTTAGTTTCTCTTCTGGGAATTCACATAATCACCCTTTGAGGGTTATCTGCCCTGCTAGCTTTGCATAGTGAATTTGTTCTCCTTTCCTGTTGAAAAAAACTTCTCTGGTACTGCACGGCTGTCAGCACAACATAGCCACAGTGGTTGGGTTTGGGTTTTTTTTTTGCCCTAGAGTCGTTCACCACTGAAAGATTTCTGGGGTGGAGCAGAGCAGCGTATTGTACATCACTGCCAGGGGAGCACCCAGATGGAGAGAGGCCATTGAGAACTTTTTATAACATATAATTTCTGCAAAGCAGGCAAATACCCAACTCCTTGTCTCATGCAAATTCAATATGAAAATAACAGAGCCATTTTTTTCCTACTGGGATTTAAAGCTAGCACATCAACCTTGACATTATTCTTTATGCCAGCCTGCTGCAGAAATGCAAGGTGCAAAGGAGATGTGGAAATAAATGCCTACACTTGCTTGATTGTACAATTACTGTAGGCTTAGCCGTACTCTTTGCTGATGGAGAGCTTTCTGCCTGCAGATGATTTCCTGGTGGAGAACTGTATGACCATTGTTCATAAGCAGGGAGGGACTTGTGTAGATGTACATATATGTTAAAAACAGAGCTTTAAATCTATTCTCTATAATAAGAGCTACAGCTAGTGGCATGAGAGGGAAGATCCCTTTCAGCTTATTTGGTGACCTTGGTATCTCACTGCCAGTCACAGTGCATGGTTTGCTTTAACAGGGAACAGATTTCAGCGTGCCATATCTTATCTGTAGCCAGAGCTCGTGGTTATGACCTGCAACTCAACCTAGTTTGGTTTGAACCAGTAAGGCAGAGGTTCTCGCTCAGTTTTGCATGGAAGTTAATTCGGTAATGTTTGGTTTCTTCTGTGTTGTTTTGGTTTTGTTTTTTAAAGCCAGAGATTACAGGAATACTGCAGAAAATTGTCCTTATTTGCCTTGTTTGATAATCTCACTACAATGGTCAGTTTGTGTGACGAGGAGTGGAAAGGGTCTCTGTGTAGCATAGGAACAGCTTATTTCCCTGTGGGACACCAGTCTTTCACTTTGACTGATGTTCTCATTGTAGCTCTGATCCAAGCGTTTGTCTGCAATCTCTGCTCGGAAGGATCAGTTCTCCTCCTTTGGCCACTATTTCCTGCAGTTAAGGCTCTCTTACTGGTGTTTTCTGCCTGTGGGGAGCCATGAAGGAGCTTGTGGAAAGAGCAGAGATAACAACAAGCACCCATCTGTTCTTCTTTTCCATCCCTTCGGGATGTCCGGGTGTCCCTGGTTAGAATTCTTCTCCAGATAAGATAGTGGAGGTGTCACTGTGGGGCAGTCAGGCCAGAAAACAATAGCGGGTTGAGTCCAAAACCCAAGATTGATCAGTAAGTACATCTCTGTTGTCAATAAGGGGCAGAGCTGCTCTGTGGAGGTCAAGGCTGGAGCTGTACCCCACATCCCTTCAGCTTCTTCCTCTGGTAAACTCCCAGGAGAGCAGTCACACTTGTTCTTCAGAAAGCTTGGGGTCAGAAGCTCCACCACGAGGAAGGCTGCAAGAGCCGTAGCATATGCAAGGACTTTCAAACCTCTGTTACTTGAGTGATAGCTGTTCCTTGGCTGAGTGGGATGTTCCAGTACCTGTTTTTCTGCATCTGCTTCGTCATCCAGTTGCAGCCAGTGTCTTTGATGGGTGAGTAAAAAGGCATTGCCCTCAAGCTTATTTCTGTTTGCTATCTTTAAGGTTCATGCCGAGCCTTAGTATTCTCAGGTGAAAGACTAGAAGATGTGAGAAGTATCTTTTTTCTTTGAAGGTAGTGTGGAGTTCTTTCCTGTTGGAAAGGTCTTTCTGTCACAGAGTGTAAAGATTCCCACATCAGGAGAATCTCTACTGCAAAGACACCGTGGGATTTTCCTCTCCCTTCGGAGGAGAGACTCTGAGTAGATATTGTGCTACTTTTTCACCTGCTGCTTTGATAAATCTCAACTGAATTTAGTGTCATAATGCAGTGCTGCTCATTTCATTGCTTAGTTGTGCCAGAGCAGAGACCTCTGGTTACACAATAGGCACAGGATTAATCTCTCTGCAGAACGGTGGGCTTGCTACAGCCTGATTTGTCATCCAATATATATGGTAGAATGTCAGCTAGAGAACTAACGATATCATCAAGATTACAAATTGAAAAGCTTTACTTCATAGCTAATGCTTGTCAGGCTGAATTGCTCAGGCCATGCAAGAAGTGTTGGGGAGGAAAAAAATTGGGCAAAGAAAAATGAAAAAGAGAGGGAACTGGAGACAGTTATATGTCTTGTGCAAAACCCCCATGCTTTTGTTGTCTGGGGAGAAGCAATAGGAGGTTGATTGGTTGCTTCTATATTATTGTGGAGTTTTTTCTTAAAAACTCAAATTAGTTTTCTAGTAAACTGTGCTGCCAAAGACTGCTTGGTGTCTGCAGGAAGGTTGGCCTGGGGCAGTGCTGGCAGTCCGAGGGTGGCCACGAAGGCTCTGCAGTGTTCCGAGGAGCACCGTCTGCCTTTTCTGCTTGTTCGCCTCCCTCCTCTTCATTCCTGCCTGAAGCTCTCGGGGAAATGGGAGGCGTGAGGGTGTGCTCCCCCATTCCCCTGAAACGCCTTCTTCCAGCTCCCCCCGAGCTTGCTGCGTGTTCATCTCAGTAAATTTTGACTTTACTTTCTGAATGTTTAGGAGACAATGTGATCTCCCTAGATGAGTGTTTTCAGAGTCTGTCTGCAAAGGATATTTCATAAAGTTAATTATAATCTATGAAAGCTAATGAGTGTGTATTTTTGGTGCTGCCCAGCTGGGAGGCTGACAGGGCATCCCTCGCTTCGCCTCGTTTGGCTTTTAACAACACAGAAGCCTTTTAATCTTAGTCAGTGACACCCTAAGGCCAGACCAAATTGTCTTGTGGAAACCAAGTGAGTTAGGCTGAGGGAAGCCCAGAGGAAGCTCTGTTCAGCTGCGTGCAGAGAAAAGGCAGGACCCAGCTCTTCTGTGGCAAGAAGTGAGCTTTGTTTAACAGTGCTGTTGTCTGGGGGTAAGGGGAGGCACCTCTGCGGCTCGGGAGAACTTGGCTGGTTGTACTGGGAGTGAATCTGCTCCTCTGTCTATCTTGTGAATTACGGCGCTAGAGATCCCCTTCGTAACCCCGATCTGTGCTCCCTGTGCCAGTTTGCGGCTCTGCAGCGCTCTCATGGCTAATGGCAGCTCCTCCTGCCTTTTGTGCTGGATTTGGGGCCAGACAAAACGTGTCTATGGCTGAGGAAGGTGTAAGGATGTTTGTCAAGAGAGATGTTCTGTTTGTGAGAAGCTACAAGATGGCACGTCAGCAGGACAGGTACTTACAGCAGCTGCAGCCAGACACGGGCGACTTGAAGCCCATTCTCTGAAGCACTTGTAGTTCCCACTTTAAAGCTAGTGAAGCAAATCAAAATAATGAACTGAGAAGGTTTGTCTGCGTCCTGAGCATTCTAATAGAAACAGTATGTCTCCCCACGGCCCAAATTGCATCACCCTGTTGTATAAACAGAAGCAAAACTGAGAGTGCAGTTTTAGAACTTAAAAAGAAATGTGGTGTGGAAAGCAGAGGTTGTTCCAATCTGAGATACATTTTATCAGAATGATTGGTTTTATTAGCCTAATTCTAGGAAATGGTAATCAATTTTCCTTACTCAAGGCAGTATTAGCATTCATTTCGCTTAATAGAAAATAGCTAGTCATGGGTCAGTAGTGCTTAATCGGGTATTAAATGTAAGTGAAAATAAACCTCTGGACTTTTAGTGAGGAAGCTGCCAGATCAGAGTTAATTAGAAGAAGACTGAATATGTAATGAACACTTCAGATCTTCATATTTTTTTTCTCCCTGTGGTATTCTTACGGTTTAATTGTTTGCAGAAGGTTTAGAAAAGCCTCTGAAGACGAACATGCTCCTTGAGCACTGCAGGAACAAGACATGCACATCCTAGGAGGTCCGGGTGTTTATATCTTGCCCTCACAAACACTCACTTCACTCACAAACATCTGATCTCCCGTGAAGATCAGGAGGTCTTGTGGGCTTGCAAGGAACATGACTGTGTGGAGTTGAACACTTTGTTCCCCAGAAGGCCCTGATTCAGACTTCATGCTCTCTAGCTTTTAAGATAATAAATAAAAATATATGGGGAAGCTGTTTCACTGAGGTGCAGGGAGGTAGCAACATCACACAGAACCAGGATAGATACTGTGAATTGCAGAGGTGGTTAGTGTTGCAGAGAGGGAAATGGGGGGCAGAGTCTCTGAAGGAGACCAGAGCACTTCTAAGTGGATCTTTAAATACAGAGGGCTGCCACCAATCTCTCTTGCCCCACTGCAGAATTTTAGAGTGCACAGATTTGTCTTACAGCTCTTTCAACTCACCTTGGCATAACTGTACATAGCTATAGGAGACACAGTGGGGAACAAAATCCCAGGCAAATGGAGCAGGGCCTCTCTCTCCTGCCTTACCTCTCTAAGCATAGACTCTTGGTCAGGGACAGCCTGACGGGCTATACATCACTGTGACCTGGGAGAGCAGTTCTTATATTTAGCTATTTAAAATTGTACCTGATAAATATATTGTAGCTGATAAATTATGCTCAGAAGTTGCTTACAATTATATAGGGGTGTAATAACTTGAAATGGAGTATTTTCTTTCTGTACACCTTAAATATAGCATTCCTGTTGCATATCTTGCAGTTCACGGTTTAACTGGTGCTTTGCAAGGTGGGTCTCTCTGTCTTGTGGTTATGGCATCTCAACTGTGAGGGCTGACACCGGCTATGGGGGGATTTTGAGAGGCTGCATAACCAGTTTGAAGCCTGATCCTTTTCTCCAAGGCATGTGGGAGTTACCAGTGACCACAGGAGGGGCTTGCAGATGCTCAGTTGGTACTTGAACAAAGGGTGGATGTCCTAGGCTAAATCTAGTGCTTCCAGGATGTGTTTCCTATGGCAAAATCACTACCTGGACCTTAGATTTGCCTTTTTTTTTTTTTTTCCCCTGTCATACAGCAGCTAAACAGCAAGTCAGACTTGCATAATGTTGTAAGACCTCTGTTAATTTCCTCTTTCTTCCAAGACATTTAAGCTGAGCTGTCAGAATTTTCCATAAGGCAATTAGTTAACTGGTATTGCTGTTTCTCCCTGGGGATCTTTATCTATCACAATGATTCTGTCAGGTCAGGAATAGAAACAGAAATTTTTTTGCATTCCTTGCAATTAGCAGTCAACAACTTGATATCTACTAGATATTTTCTGTTGTCTCTTGTTGCGTGTCTCAGCCCTGGACCCCTGCTCTGCCTACATCAGCCTGAACGAGCCCTGGAGGAACACAGATCATCAGATAAACGGCTCCCACGGCCAGCCGACATGTGACAGTCAAATCGACGGGGAGTGGTACCGCTTCACTGGCATGGCCGGCGACGCTATGCCTACCTTCTGCATCCCAGAGAACCACTGTGGCACCCATGCTCCCATCTGGCTGAACGGCAGCCACCCGCGAGAGTCGGACGGCATCGTCCCTCGCCAAGCCTGTGCCAGCTTCAATGGGAACTGCTGCCTTTGGAATACCACGATTGATGTCAAGGCGTGTCCGGGCGGGTACTACGTGTATCACTTAACCAAGCCTAGTGTTTGTTTCCATGCCTACTGTGGGCGTAAGTAACTGCTGAGGTCACTTTTCTAAAACCCCCTTGTCCCCATGATGCGGGAGAAGTGTGAGCATCCATACACCCATGAGAGGTGGTGACTGATTTCTGCCAATCACAGAATCATAGAATCACCCAGGTTGGAAAGGCCCTTGAAGCTCCTCCAGTCCAACCATGACCCTCACCCTGACCGTTCCCAACTCCCCCAGATCCCTCAGCGCTGGCTCAGCTCGACTCTTCAACCCCTCCAGGGATGGGGACTCCCCCCTGCCCTGGGCAGCCCATTCCAACGCCCAACAGCCCCTTCTGCACAGAAATCCTTCCTCAGAGCCAGCCTGACCCTGCCCTGGGCAGCTTGAGGCCATTCCCTCGGGTCCTATCACTTGTTACTTAGGAAAAAGAGGCCGACACTCACTTCATTACAACCTCCTGGCAGGGAGTTGCAGAGGGCCAGGAGGTCCCCCCTCAGCCTCCTCTTCTCCAGACTGAACCCCCCCAATTCCCCCAGCTGCTCCCCAGCAGACCTGTGCTCCAGACCCTGCCCCAGCTCCGTTGCTGTTTCTCACCCAGAAGCCTGTCAGGTGAGGGGGTGCAGATGGTGGCCTGTCTGTACGAGATCAATTAGACAGTTTCCCCTCTGTGTATTCCAGCCTTTGATCAGCTAGCAGAAATCTTCCGTAGCTGACCTGGCTGCAGTGATTTAATGCTCTCTGTGGGCCCTGTGGTTTGTCTTGGCATGCTACCAAAGCCAAAATTTGCATCTCTGACTTACAGTAATTAAACTAGATTGTTTCTCATCAGCTTCAGTGGTTCAGCTTTCCTAATGTCCACTAGGTCTGTAACTGATGGACTAGATACAGGGCGTGAAGCTGACAGTACAAATACAGTATTTTTATTGCATGCTCAGTGGTTTGTGGTAACAACATTCTTGTCATGCCCTAGATTTTTATGACATCTGTGATGTGGTGGATTGCCAGGGCTCCTGCCTGGACACCAGTGACTGCACGTGTTCCCTGGGGACGACACTAGGACCTGATGGACAGACATGTCTTGGTAAGAGTGGAAATAACTTGTGTCAGTTACTGATGCTTTCTTTCCCCTTTGTTTTATTGCTCAAATCTCAATCCATTGTCTTACAAAGCTGTACAAAAAAAGGAAAAGTATTCTGAGAGGAGTTTTTCTCTCTTGTTGCCTAGAAGAGGCCTTTGATTCTGTAAATGGTTCCCAGTCTCTCCCCATGGGGTAGATACAACATCCCATGAGTGAATACTTTCTGGTGCCCCTGTCATGGACAGAGGCTAGGTTTGCTTTCTGCATGATGCAGCTGCTGAAGGCAGCAGCTTCACTGGCAGTAGCAGAGTCTCTTTTCAAGACCATGGCAGAGTCTCATTGGTATTCAGGAACGGCTGTGTGGTCTGTCATTAGAGATTTTCCCTCACCTGTTCTGTTGAATGTCTCTTTCTTCCAAGGAAAAGTTTTGCTGGCTGCCTTAGGGCTACACACTAAGCTTCACCATACTTTGTGCCCCTGTGGGGCATTGTCCAGGCCTGGGGCTTGAGGAGAGCCGAAGGACTGTAAGTCACAGCACAGCTGCGTGACAAGGTGGTATTCGGGGTCTGGCCCTTGGTGGCTGCACTGGCAGAGACTAGCATGACCAGGAGGGAGGTGGAGGGCTGTAAGTGAGAACAGAGCGTGGAACGTAGGCTTCAGGATTTGTGAGGGAGTCCCCATGAACTTCTGAAGTGAGGAGAGCTGGGTGGTGCTGGGAGGAGAGCAGCTGGGCTTGTGAGGAATTGGGAAGAAGGTCTGTGGGGCAGAGCGAGGGGCTGGGAAGGTGGGGAGCTGCAGAGCCATACCGATGGATAGGAGGAGGTGATGTAGAGGGAGGAAGGGCTGCTAATGTTCAGAGAAAGTGGAATCTCACCTTTGTGGCTGGGTTTGGTGGAGAAGTTGAAAGCAGAGTTGGTGCAGGAGGCTGCATGACTGATTAGTTTCTTCCATATGGACTACAGCAGACAAGGCAGACACAAGTGGCTTCTTTCTTCACACTCCTCACATCTGTGGGCATCGAGGGGGGGGGGGTCCACAGTCATTACAGTCTGTGGAGAGAGCAGCCTGGCCCTGCTGCAGATTTACACTTGCTCACACTGGTTCTTCAGAAGAGTTTTGCTTAAGCTGCTCTACATCTCTACAGTCGAGTGGCTGACTTAGCTCTCTCAGCTAATTAAAAGCATTTATTGGCTGCTTCTGTGCAAGACTTGCAGTCACAGCTGTGCCCTTGACAAGCACCAGCACTCAGTAAATGTGTGGCAGGCTCACCAGAAGGGATTTCCTGCAGCAGGGAGGCACGCAGGAGTCCTGAGCCTGTCTGCGTGTGCTGCAGCTGCCTTCATCCCCCCACGGCCAGGCCGGGCAGGATTTCTGCTTCTCTTCATGATAACCAGATGGCACGTCACCTCAGCTCTAATAATCGAACTGGTTTACCTACCTTCAGCCTCTCTCTATATGTATGGCTCTCCCAGCTTTCTAATGACTTTCTGTTGTGCTGAGTAATTGCGCAGTCACATCTCTGAGAGCAACCGTGCCGGCCTTCTGGAGAAACCAAACAAATCTGTATCAGCCTTGCCTCTGCCTTTCCTCTATGGAAAATATTCTTCCTTTCCCAGGTCACCCTAAGAGGGGGGGCTGAAGATGCTGCAGTAATGCTAAGCAGCTCTGTGAAACCTTGCTGTGCTAGGCTGAGTTCTCTTCAGTACATTACATGCTTTGAATCCCAGAGCAAAACTGCTGATCCTAAGTTATATTTTCATTTGCAAACTTTCTTAGGGGTTAGATTAGGTCTTAGACTTTCTGTCAGGGATTCACCAACTCTTTGTATTGCCGTTGACCTCTGGAACACCTGGACCCATGTTGTACTAAGCCGTGGTTAAAATCAGTTCAGTGCTTGTCCAGTCTAGTCTCAAGACAACCAGCGTGTGTCCCAGAGGTGCTGGTTGTCACTGGTGCAGAAGAGCAGGGACAGATCTGTGTGCTGGAGAATTCGGAGGGCTGGCAAGGTGAACTGCTGGATACAGCCATTGACCAAGCCGAGCTCTAGGACCTACTAACAGCAGCTCTAGCAGCTCTATGCCTTTGCCAGTAGACGTTTCCCTCTTCACCCTCTGTTTTAAAGCAGCTTTAGTTTTATTGTTAGAAGGGAAAGTGTGGAAATGGGAGTGTCTGTGTGTGTCTCCTCGACATGCTTCCTGCCTCCCAGAGCAGGGTACTGGCCATTTCTTTGGCTAAAAATATTCAATTCATGTTGCTTGTGGAAGTAGACAACACCACCAGCTGCAGGCTGCAGGTACTGTGTATGTGTGGGACTGCCCCTAAGAGAGCTCATCTCTGACCTGTCGCTTGAAATAGTTTGGGTTTTTTTCCCCTCAGTTTTAAGTTTCTGACATCTAGTAAATGGTAACTTCGAAGCTGTTTTGGTGAGAACCTGTGTGAACCTTGATTGATAACCTCAGCATTCTGGCCTGCCAAAGAGAAATCATTAGTTTTGTGGCTCAGCAATAGCAGTGACTGTCCCTCTCTATTTGATTCACTTTTTGCACACAGATTAAATCAGGTTGAAGAATGAGAACCTCAGAGAACAAAGTACCTTTAAGAAAAAAAAAAAAAGAGGAGACAGACAGAGGAACTTTAGCCTTTAAAAGAGACAATTAGGAGGAGTTTTCAGAGCTTTACAAAGAGTTCCAGAAGCATCTGCTGTGCTTTTTCCTCAATAAATACACTCAGCACCCTGGAGGGCTCTAATCTAGAGCTGAATGCAGCCAGCACAGAAATGTGACACAGGTACTATTCATGGGTAAATTGCTTTAGGTTATAAAAACTCAGTCCAGGACTATTACAAGGTTATTCTGCAACCTTTACACAGAGTCCACTCCAGAAAGTGTGGGATGCCAGCTCAGGCACTGCTCTTTCTTCTGAGCTGGAAAGGTAGGAGCCACGGCTCTGCGGGAGGCAGCAGAGGAGCGGGGCTGTCGTGGGGCAGTGGGGAGCTGAGTCCCCAGAGGCAGTAGCTCAGAACTGAGCTCTCCATCTCATCATCAGTGCAGAGTGTCTGGGCAGCTAACGGTTGTGATGTCCTGCGTGGCACCAGCGCCCAGGTCAGGTCTCACCACGCTGAGTTGACGTTTCAGTGCTGCAAGAACACCTGAGCTGCTGCAGGGAGCCCCCAGAGCTGGGGCAAAAAGAGAGAATGATGAAGTTTCTCATGACATGACTTTTCTTGGGAAGGCTTCATGGGGTTCATTAAAATGTTTTGGTTTGATTTCAGCCCTATCTGTTTACATCTGTTCTTCACTGCTGTGTCTGTATTTTGAAATAAGGGGTGAATCATTTAAAATTGCTGTAGGATAGTTGGCCACATGTAGCAGTAGCAGGTGTGATAGAAAAATAGATGGCGTTTATTTTTGGCCGATTCTGGTATTCACCTAGTTTTACCATGGAGTGAAGTCACGTCAACCCCATTTTGAGTGGAGCGGAGAATAGAATGAGAAGATAAATGAAAACATGAACTCCCTGGTGTGTGGAACCACCTTGGAAGTTTCCCAGTGGGACTGTGTCCATCTTCACTCTGAAATGGCTGCTGTGTGTACATGGTCTTTCCCTTCAGGTCTGCTTTGGGGCAAAACACTCTGCTACTGTCATTCAACCGTGGTCTTCAGCATTTAGTGGGATTTACTCTGTTGCCCTGATCCAGGTCACGAGGCCAGGAAAGCCACCCCACGGTCTGGCTGGCACCCTGTGGAGCAGCCCCTTTTTGTCAGCTGTGTGTTTACCAGGAGGGCATGTTATAACAGTGGGGTTTGGGGTTTTTTTTTTCAGATGAAAATGAATGTGAGCAGAACAACGGAGGCTGCAGTGAATTTTGCGTTAACCTGAAGAACTCCTACCGCTGCGAGTGTGGGATCGGGCGCACGCTGGGGAGTGATGGGAAAACCTGTGAAGGTGAGGTTTCAGCTGTCACAGTCTGCTGGAAACAATATAAATCATTCCCCTTCCCTTGCAGCACTAGTTTTGGCTCCTTGCAGCTGGGATTAAATGTCACTCCACTTCTGTGCTTGCCAGGGGGGTTGTTACTGAAATATCCTTCTAATGAAGCAGAGAGGAGTCTCCTTGTTCTCCCTGCCTTGTTCATGTCTGTTGGGATTTGCTTGTGTTTATCTCCATGGGGAGAGTGGCAGCAGTGTATCTGGAAGGGTGGTTGTCCAGACAGAACTAGATACTGCTGGAGATTTGTGTTATAGTTGTGTGGGGGCAGATTTGGCATTGCTGGTTTTTGACAGCTGGCATTAGGTACAGGGTGATGTTAGACCAGAGCACGAGGATCACTTGGCCTCCCAGGATAGAGATGGAGGAGAGGGGGTGCTGGTCTGAAAACAGAAAGTAGATTTGAGATTCGGGCTGCATTTTGACTGGTTGATTTTTGTGAGGGGTTAGTTGTGGGCTCTGCTGTGTGCAGCTGCTACAGTTACATCCCAGTGGCAGCACAGCCAGGTTCAAAACCCTTGATGAGTTTAGACTCGTAGCTTAGCGGGGGCTTAAAGACCAAATTGTAGGTTTGATTTGTTGTCACTAACAACGTACAAACATCTTTGAGCAGAAGTAAGAAAACCCAGCAAAAAATGGCTTGTGCCTGATGTGTTCCGTGGTCAGCTGTGTCAGCGTGGTGCCCCCTCACAGGCAAAGCTGCTGTGTTATATCTTTGCAGATACTGTGGGGGCTCAGACAAGAATAATAGCTACAGATGTGCCTCACCGTTGAGCTACCTGATTGCCAGCAGACATCCGCGGTGCAGGGAGAGGATTGCCAATGTATTTTTGGGCTGGTCTCCACCCTTCTGTTCACTGACAGATGGCTCCAAGCTGCAGTTTTTGTCCCTGTTTTCCCCCTCTTTGATACCAAAGCACATTTCATCTCACTTCTGTGAAAGTCTCCTCTCTGAGCTCTGTTAATAAAACATCACCCACCCAGACAGTGACACCTCCCTGGGGAAAGCTGCCGTGCAGAGGACTCCTTAAGTACTTTTTAAGTTGTGTGGGGCCAAAAGTGGTCTGTGGGCTTTGTCTCTTCCACATCCAGCACTGAGCTGGTGGGGTGTCACGTAGACCAGCTGTGCTATGTGGCAGTTTTTATTCCTGAGCACTGTACTTTTCTGACAGGGCTGGAATAGTCTCTGCTTGGGAACTCATTTGCTTCTGCAGTTCCCAAAGTTGGATTGCAGGGCCTTTGATATATCATTTAATTTACCCTTCTCTAAAAAAGATGGTTCTTTTCACAAGTTGAACACTGCTGCTGGGGATTTTTACAATCTTGTTAGTAAGTTTTATTTCTGAAGATGTGCCCTCAGCTTTGTGAGCCATTAGAGTATGTGATTTATTTGAGACACCTCACAGCTGTTGCTAAAAAGAACAAATGCAAGAGATTTAGCTTGATTACATGAGCTGGTGAGGCTAAGGAGGATTAAGAGTACCTCAACATTTCCATTGTCATGCTTTACCCGTTACTTTGACTCATGTGGAGTGCTCAGGCCATTATTTTCCATGCAATGTGTAGGACTGAGTATGGGATTTCAATTTTTTTCTTTATATTTCAAGTGAAAACCACGTAGTCATTTCTGATGGCAGGTTTAGGGAGAAGTATTTTGTATTTATGATTTGCTTATATTGTATGTACTCTTGTTTTTCTGAGAACATCTAGCAGTATCTGTCCCAAAGGGCTAAAAAAAAATCAAGCAGTGAAAGTTATTTTTTTTAAAAGATCATGATGCTCTGTTATTTTCTTTATAATAGAAAGCCAGCAACAACTGCAAATGGCCTTGCTTGCCTTAGATTTTCAAATCTTCAGAATGTATTTGGATGACCTTTCAGGCTCTTTTCTGCAGCTGTAGTGGCTAGGAATATGTTTTACACGAAAACTCGGATCCTCAGAGAACTGCCTCATCTGAACAGAAAAGATATAAGGAGAGACATGACAAATGTCCCAATTAGCTGTGCTGCCCTCTCTCCTCTGCTCTTTAGAATGGGGGAAAATTAGGAGGGGAATTGACCTTACACCATGAACTTCTGTCATTCTGTCTCAGTGTAGCCAACCTCTAAGCCTAATACTCACTAACTAGCAAGATTCCTGCTAAACAAACTCCTACAAGCGGAGAGTTTCATCCTCAGCCTGCAAAGGGGATGCAGGAATCCGGTATGCCCACCACCATCACAGCTGGGAAAGCCACAGGCAGAAAGCACAGCATCTTCTCTGGGGTGTTCCCTGATGGGAATAGAAGCTGGCTATCTGCGAGCCTGTGCTCCCCAAGACACCTCTCCTACAAATCTCAGGGCTTTAATTCTGGTGATGACTAAGGGAGTGAGTATGGTTCCACATGGTGGAAGTTTTTAATAGGATTTCCTCCCACGTTTTTGAAGTACAAAATGATGTAAAAATCTAGTGTAAGAGGATGTCTCAGAAAGGGCCAGGCTGAAGATTGCCTATTCAGCCTTCTTATGTATGCCAGTCATAGCATGGGATTTAATTTGGTAAGCTTTCTCACATAATTCCTTGTTAACTTCACGGTGAAATGAAAAACACAGGAAATTGTACAATTAAAAATAGGTTTCCACCACTTTTTCTTGGAAGCAAGCTCTCACTGTGCTGTTGCCTTTGAGCTCTGTGCTGATTGTACTGTTTGTTAGTCAGCCAGGAGTGTATGTTGGGGCCTGAGTAGCTGCCACACAGCTGCCTGAGGATGCTGATTTTCCTTTCTTTTGCAGAAATCGAAGGCTGTCACAATAACAACGGGGGCTGCAGCCATACCTGTATTGAAGTGGAAGACACATACCAATGTGAATGTCCGAGGGGACTTGTTCTGTCAGAAGACAACCACACTTGCCAAGGTAGGTCAACAAAATCTCCCCGACAGCCTCTTGCCCCCTGGATGCCAGAAGTATGTCTGAAGGAATTTTTCTTCTTGTTTTTATCATGTTCTCTTAGTCTCTCCTCTCCAGATTGTTTAATGGAGTTTTGTTGTTAATGACAGATTGTCCAAAACTGAGAGCCTGAAGATATTGCTCTTTTTACCAGGCAGGAGAACAGAGACACAGGACCCAGCTGGGTGCATCTTGCATCACAGGCAGTTTTGGCAGCGTTCACTTACAATTAAGATTGCTTAACAACTCCCATTATACTCCTCTGCTTCCACTGTGTATGCCTTTGAGAAATTTCTGCTCTTAGAACTGAAATTTTCCATGCTTCCAACTGGGCTTTTAAAATTTCAGCTGAAGTGGTTCAGTCCTTTCCAAGAATTGGGGTTAGAGAGAGAAAAGCCTTTCTTTGCCTGGGGTATCTAGGTAGCCATTCCAGTGAGCATTCCTGTGTCTTGAAGCAGGGCACTAGTACTGATACTAGTGTTTCTGCTATCCCTTGGAAAAGTGCCTGAGACAACATCTGAAAATTGACTGTTGCTTCTGCTGCGTAGAGGCAAGGGCAACGTTCTCCTTGGAAAACCTTCTGTCTCAACTTCCCTCCATTCCTGTGTGCAGGGAGTCCTTCTTGCTGACTCACTTGCACCTATAGCATGCACGTGGAATAAACATGTTCCTGTTTTGGGTTACAAGAGCTGAGTGAGGTTTCCTTTGCAAAGATGTCCAGGCTCCCAGGGGTCAATTTAGCTCTGCAGCAGTGAGTGCAGGGAGCAGAGGATCAGGGAGAAGTTCCTGAGGGCATTGAGAGTTCAGCAGGGGGTCTGTAGCTCCTCTTACAATCTGGGACTGCACCCAGGATCCTTCTGGGTCTCATCATCCCCCAGCTAGCGGAGCCCCTGAGGTGCTGAAATCATCGAGCTGCCTGTGTGTCTGACAGAGATGATGTCTGTTATGATCTGCTGCCAAAGGGACATTCAGTGAAAATGGGGTGTTGAGGAGAGCTACGTGGACGTGTGAAAGGCAGGCAGAGGGAATGCTCTCTGATCCCCTCATCTGACTGGCCTGGCCAGTTGTCAAACCTGTCAGGCTCAGCGTAAAGCTGGAGAAGGTACACTACTGCCCTGGTGGAGACAGACCTCATAGCTCTCTGCTTGTGTTCTGCCTTGGTGGGCACATGAAGAACCACTGTGGCTGCTTTCAGACATTTCCACGGGCATTTGCTCATGGGCTGGACTCCGGCCATAGCCAGGGCAGGATCTAAAACACAATCAAAGGGAGTCTGTCATGGGCTAATTCACTCGGGCTTTAGGTAATACCAATGAGCTGGTGTTACCCGGGGTGCTCAGAATCTCCTGTTGTGCAGTGTGTTACAGTGCCCAGACATCAGGTAGAGGAACAGATCCAGACTGCACGGTGGCCAACGGGGCAGGTGTGCCCCAGAGAGGAAGTTGGAATGGTTCCTCTTGATGAAATTTCTGCTTTTTAAGCTTTTTAGAAATGCAGGGCACTGTTATCAGGGGTGAGCACTGCACACTTGGGATTCAGTAGTGCTTACTGCTCCAGCAGAGCCAGGTGGGGAGAAGAAGATGGGGATTTCCAAGAGCTGTGATTATACTTACTGATTGAAGACCTGATTGATGGATAGAGGCCAGAAAAGAGCAATGTTCTTCAATCCTGGCTCCCTGGGGCAACCCCAGCAGCATTAGAAGGCCATGCATTTCCCAGCCAGTGGTGCTCCTTCTTCTGAGGCTCCTAATGAGAGCAGCAGCACTGCCGGGTGCCAAGCTGGGGCTCGGGTTACCGCATCTCATAAAGCAAAATTGCTTGTTCTTTTGCATTTAATGAATTTATGTCCCCACGCAGTGGTCTGCAGTTTTGAGCAAATACAACAGAATGTGTCTGGAACTGTACCACACAATTTTTTTATGGCACCTAATCAGGTCTGTAGTGGTACAATTAACAGTGCAGGGCAGGCACAGTTGCCTGAAGCAATTGGATCTGCAGCCTGTCAACCCTCCTCTGCACTGTCACTACATTCAGAACAAACATAAATAATCTTCCACAGAAATCACAGTCTTGCCTACAATTTTCCCACAAAGATACCAGCCAATGAAATTTTGTAGACCATCCTAGTACCCCACCTCTTTCTGAGGTGTGGCGGTGAAATGCTTTTCTCCCCTCTCCCATGCCCAAGCCCTGTGTGCACCCGAGCAGGGTACAGTAGCATCGTTTATTTGTGTTTGTAGCAGCGGTTCAGAGCTCCCCAGCACCCGAGAGCCTGTTCTGCTGAGCAGTCTGTGCTGAAAGAGAAGATAACCTCTGCTCCAAGCAGCTGTAGTCTGAAAGGGCAAGGAAGGAGCCACAGGCTGGACAAGGACCATGGTGCCAACAATAGCAGACAGCAAAATGAGTGCTGGACTCCCCACAGAAGCTTCCTACCAGGGTCGGGGTGCTTGCAGAGCCCAGAGCAGTATTGAGGAGGCTTTCCCAGCACCTACAGACGCTCTGCGGTGTGTGAGGGTGGAGAACTGAAACGTTTGACTGGCAAAGGCTGGGGGAGGCTCTCGGGCGCCTCGCAGGCTGGGGTGAGCCCAGGGCAGGGGTGCAAGAGGTGGATGCTGACAGCAAGTCGGGAGAAGCGCAGCTCTGAACGGATGCAAGAAGTTGTGAATAAAAGTGGATTTCCTTGGCACCCAGGATAACTCATTTCTGCTGGGCATCTCAGTCCTGGCTGCTGGGACCTCATCACTTGCCCTGGAATAACGTGTCTGCTTACAGCCACGGCTGCATTGCCAGCTCCTTTTCAGCCCCCGCTTGCTGGCAGCCTGTCTTGGGGGAGTGGGGCTGCTCAGAGCTGAATCACGCTGATGCTCGCGGCACCGCTGTTGGATTGGTAGAAGTGACACTCAGTTCTCAGTATTGATTACTCTTCTGCACAGATGTCTCGAGCGCTTTAAATTACATTACCAGTTACTCTGAGATGGTTAGTGTAAGGAGTTTCCCAGAGTGTTTTCCCAAATTGTGATGAGTTGGCTCGAGTCCAGAGTGGATCTGCTCACAGGTTTCATTCCTTTGTCTCTGTGCCCAGGTGGCGGAGCACACAGACAGCTCCTGCAGTGCCAGAGCAGAGGTTAAATGGGTGCCTCCTCTTTCCTCCCCTTTGTGCCTATCAAAGACATTTAGAAAAAAGAGATAGCCTGAACCAAAGAGCTCCTGACCTTTGGAGAATTGCAGCTGGGATCCAAACCATATCTTGCCCTGAATTACACCTTTGTAAAAGCATTACATTTTCTTATCCATCAAGGAGTCACTAGAAAAGTGAAGCTTTAAATCCAAATTGAGCCCATCAGCTCTCCAGAGAACGTTCATCTCTGCCTGCACTGCACTGTGTTCTCAAAGTCTCTTTGCCATTTGACATGCTCTGTTATTCCCGCTTGCCTTCTACTGCAGATGGAGGAAAAGTTAAGGTAATTCTTAGTTATTTAATTTTCTGTTCTAACCCAGCAATGTCATTACGAGAGCATATTGCTTTGGGCATGCTGCATACATTTTAGCATATCACCTTGAAAAGATCAACTTTTAATAAAAAATTCTCCCTGCAGGTACACAGTATCTGTTACAAATACCTTAGCTGGGACAGGAACATTTTTTTTAAGGGGGATAAAAGGCGTATTTTAGCAGTGTGCCTTGTATCCAAGATCCAGAATCCTGGATTATATAATTAATGATAGAAATTAAGGGAATGCAGATCTTACGAATGTTGAGAATTGGGACTGTAATAAATTTTAGGAAAAAGCTTGGGCAACTTGTATATTTGCAAAAAATTTTGTCATGTGATTTTGAAATATGGTAAATGGAAATTCTGCAAGGGGTTTGTTTTTCTGGCTGAGAAGATAGCAGAATGTATGCACCAGTACACTTGTCCTGTATCTGACTGAATAGATATGTATACGACCAAGGAATATACATAGCAATTACTCTTTTATTGAAGATTATTCCCTCTTGTTTCCTTTTTCATTTTGCCCAATCTCTATACTTTTTCCCACTTCTTATGCAATGGTATTTTAATTTTTAAAAGTTTGCATGAAGATCTCTATTAAAATTCAAAGGTTGGAAGGAGGTGGAATGAGTGAGCTTAATTGGGTTTGTTTGTCAGAGCTGGGTTTATCGCTTATAAAAATATTATTATGGCATTTTGAGGTGCTTCCATTTTAGTTCAGCATCTGTATGGAATTACTCTGCCTTGTTTTGAAATGTTTTGGGTTTGATGTAAAATCTGATTAAGGGTCATAAAAAATGGCTTTGCCTGAAGTGTTGTGAATTTGATGTCCGTATCTGGGAAAGGCTCTTGCCAGGATTTAGCAGTGCAAGAGATATCGATCAAACCTGTGCTGTGCATTAAGTATAGCTGGAAATACTGCACAGCTAAAGTCTCTGCTGCAGGTGTAATGGTCATCTTCATCTTTTGTGGCGTTCGCTGCGCCAGGAGAATCTGGGGCAGCGGTAGCTCAGGAGGTTTGTGTTGTGTAGGTAGGAATATAAGATAAGTAGTTTGGTTACTATGGTAAGATAGTAATCATAAATGCAGCATATGATCCCCCTTCTTTTTTTCCCAGTAATAATTGGTATAGCCCTCCCCCATCTAGACGTGCCGGGCAGACTGTTACTCTGGGGATGTTTCTTGTAGTTCCAGTGCTGTGCAAGTCCAGCTCTATTGAGGTGAGCATCCCAAAGGACCTGGTTGGAGGCCTGGACCTTTCCCTCATCAACACATCATGCAAAGGAGTATCCAATGGCACTCACGTCAACATCCATTTCTCCTTGAAGTCCTGCGGCACTGTTGTAGATGTATGTATACCTGCTGCTGTGCTGTCTCTTGGGATCTCTCAGATTTGGGGACTTGGCTCTGGCTTACTTGGGGAATAAACCTGATGTAGCTGTACCACCAGAGCAGTTTCTTGTGTTGCCATGCAGCTGGCCTCAGACTGGACCTGGGGTGGCATCCCAAAGTAGGAGAGCTTGTTTCATCTCTTCTCCAGCGGTGTGTGTCTGTCAGCATGGGTACTGCTTGCTGCTCACCTGGGGCTTCACAGAGGCAGCTTCAGCATCACTCTGGTGCAGAAAGTGCAAGTGCTGCCCCTCTTCACCCTCCTGTTGAGACAGGGTCTGGCCCCCCAATAATGTTTCAAAGGCTACTCTGGCAGCTTGGCAGGGACCAGAGAGCTCATTTTAGCAGATGGGTAGCAATTGGAAGCAAATTGAGTACAGTGCATCGAAGCTGACAGCAAACTGATAGAGGTTCTTAAGTAAGGATGAACATCATTCTGTCTGCAGCATAACAATTCACAAGCTGTACTTCCAGTGGCTAGTTTATGTCTGAGTTTCCTGAACAAAGTAAACTCAGCTGCTAGTCTGAACTTGGAGAGGTCTTTCTCAGTGATCTCCCCCTTCCCTTCAACTCCTTTCTTTGCTGCAGGTAATAAATGATAAAATCATTGCCACCAACCTGGTGACCGGCTTGCCAAAGCAGACTCCAGGAAGCAATGGGGACATCATTGTCCGCACCAGCAAGCTGCTGATCCCGGTGACCTGTGAGTTCCCACGCCGGTACACCATCTCTGAAGGTTATGTGCCCAACCTCAGAAACTCTCCCTTGGAAATCATGAGCCGCAACCAGGGCATCTTCCCCTTTACTCTTGAGATCTTCAAAGACAAAGACTTTGATGAACCCTACAGGGGTGCTCCTCCCACCCTCAAGCTTCGGGACTCTCTGTACTTTGGGATTGAACCCTTGGTGCATGTCAATGGACTAGAGACACTGGTAGAGAGCTGCTTTGCCACTCCCACCTCAAAAATCGACGAGATCCTGAAGTACTACCTGATTCAAGATGGGTGAGTTCACTCTTCCCTCTCTTGCTGGCTACTAGATGGGAACTGGTGGTGGGGCTAAACCGCATTGCCTCTGTCACGCACGAAACACTATCAGCCCCTCTGCTGTGTTGCTAGCAAGCAGCAGCAGCCAGGCCTTTCGGCCAACAAGCTGAAACCAGCTGTCCCATCAAAAGTGCTTGGGAGAAAGAGTGGGAGGCAGTGGCAGAGGTTACTCCAAGTGCAGCGTTTACAGGACACATTTCCCTGTAACTGGCCTTAGGGATAATTGAGTTGGCTCCTGTAGAAAAGATATCCTTCCTGATATCCTCTCTCTGCCAGCCTGCAGAGTGCCAGAGCAATTGGCAGAAGACCCTGACAGCCGTGTGCCGCTGCCACGCAGCCGCCGCAGCAACTGGAGCAAGGTTCTTAATTTTCCCCTAATGGCCTTATTACAGCATGAGCCAGAAGACTCCGTGGCTGATCCGGGTTGGAGCTCCAGGAGCTCCCCTTGCTTTGCTCTCTCTCTCTCTGATGCCTGTCAGTGCAGTAAGCTTAGGGTCCCTCTGCTTGGCTGTAATTTTCTGAGGTGTTTGTGTTCAGTGATCTTTCCAGGATATGCTAGTGAAAACCCCAGGTGGATCTGCGGGTTCGCTGTAACAGGTTTTGCGTCAGAGCTTTGGGGAGCACTGCTGTGGGCTCTGCTGTGGCTCCTAAGATGACCCCTGCTTTCAGACACGTGTTTGGGTGCTAACACGACAGTGCCATGGTACAACGTTGCTGCGGGGGGTGTTGCATCCAGCAGCGCCTGGCAGCTTAACCAGACAACGCTGTGGAAATGTCACAGCGGGGAACCAGTCTGCTGTCTGTCCTCTAGGGAGCAAAGGCCAGCCAAAGTAATATCTAAGACATACCCAAGTGTCATAGCCTGACAGTCAAGGGACTGTGCTCATATGAGTCCTGTATTCTGCTTGCCAAACCATCTAATGAGGACAACAATTATTTCCTCAGCTGCCAGGCTAAATCATCCACCGTTACAGCTGGTGATGACAAGGCCTGTGTGATCGTCACGTAGCAAAAAAGTCTTGCAGAGTACAGTACACAAAAGTACTCTTTTCGTTTCCTTCTGACAAAGGTTTCAGGTTTAGCTTGCTCTCCCTCCATCCTTGGCTCCAGTCCTTCTGTGCCTGACATTTCTGGGCTTTATGAGTGATTTTGTAATGAAAGGATTGATTTATCAACTCCCCGGCTTGGCTTTTCCCGTGGACCCTTCACAGAGTCAAGGTTCCAAACATTCATTCATTTCTCACCATGAGTGAAAATGATGGGATTCAAAACAGTGCCCAAAACCTGAGCCAAATAAAGGAGGGAAAAGGCAGAAAGTGTCATCTCTTGAATTCACCGCAGCGCTAGTTGAAGGATTGATGGCACCAGCAGCCCCTTTGGTACTGTTATCCTGCAGAGGGCATTAAAACTTCACCGAAGGGAGAAGTGGGCTGGAGCCTCAGCCCGCCTGCTCTGCTGGCCCCAGTGTCCCCAGCCAGGCCAGCCCCCCTGCTCTGAGCTGGGCTTAAATCGAACCGCTCACTTAGACCAAAGGCTAATGATGTGCTGTTGAGCTAACTGGAGTTCTTTGTCTCTCTGGGTGCTCGCAGCAATTAAAAAATAAAATTAGCTGAATTACACTGCTGATTTGTGTCTGCTCCAAACAGTTCTGTAATAACCCGCTTTCCTTCCGTCAACCCAGCCCCAAAAGCCCAAGGCAATAAAGAAGGGATTTTAAAATCGGTTGATTATGGTAGGATCTGACCTGCAGGAGTTAAATGCAGCTTCCAGAGGGAAACACTGTTTAAATTTGAGGGGATATACCTTAGACTGAGGGAGGGGAAAATTCCCTGTTAATTCCCTGCCATCTCCAGTTGGCAAGAGGTGGGAGCCGCCTTCTGTGAGATTCCTCAACCAACCCTCTTCCTAGGCTGGTGTGACCACGTTGAAAATCAGGATTTTCCCCAATCCCTGCCTGCTGTCTCTGTAATACCCTGGACTGCTGCTAGCCTGGCCAAAGCAGCTCTCCCACTTCTGATCTGCCTCTTTCTCAAAAGAAAAATAAATAAAAGGCATTGACCGGTTGCACAGGCGATAAACACTGCAGCTCTCTGTGGCATCTGGAGCAAGGCCATGTCACTGAGGGCAGTCCGCTGTAACCTGGTATGGTCAGGAGCTGCCATTTATCTGAGCACGGTGTGGTTAAGGTAGTTTCATTGCAAGGCTCATCCTGTTACATCTGGGGCTGCCCCTTGTTTATAGGCTGAGGTGGTCATTTCATGCTCCAAGCCCTCCTTTCTACCTCGCAGACCCCCAGAAAGAGGACCAGAGCACAGCTCCTGTGGCACTGCCATTCTCTGCTCCCCCAACCCAAGCACATTATGCACAGGAAAGGGTTATTCTCCCCATAGCCTGACCAAGGTCACCTCTTTTCCTTCCCTCCCTGTTCTCCCTGCCCCTCCTCACCTCTCCAAGGTGGGAAGCAGGGTCTGGGAGTTTCCTAGGAGGGTGGGACATGGTATGGCCCCACACACAGTGCAGAAGGGCTTGACCCTGTTGTCATGTTGTAGTGCATTTGTCAGAACCCTCCATAAGATGTACTTACCATGTATCCCTGCTTTCTCCTTGCTGCTCTTCCATTTTCCCTCTCCCTAGCCCCAACCCAGTAGTGTTCCTGCCACCAGTGCAGCCAGCCTTTGGAGAACCTGGGATTTTGGAGTCAGTTTGAGCCAGTGTATGAGCATCATCACAGTTTATACGCTCACAAATGAGGACATGGCTGCGAGTTGACTTTATGGCCCCAAAGCTTGGCCAGTCACTTGTGAAAAGTCTTTAACTGTCATTCTTTACAATCAGTCGCCTTCAGGAATGCTACTTTTAAAAGCTATTTTATCCTAAACAATGTAGTAACATCTAGTGTTTGGCCTTAAGGGGGAGGAATTGATGTCATTTTTTCTAGATGCACAATGTTAATTTATTAGCTCCCTTGCAGGGCTTTTCATATTTGCCTCCCAGACAAGTTAACTAGACAAGTGCTGCAGGCAGGGATATCCCTTCAGACTGTGACCTCCACTGGCTGAGAAAAAGCTACAGAAAATAATGGGAGGATCAGAGCGATGCTCAGTGCTCCCAGGAACATCCATGGCTCTGCTGTACGGAGCAGAAGGGTGTTTCTGGGAGGGATGGCAGTAGCTGCCACCCACAGAGCCAAGTCAGCCAAACAGCGTGGAGATTTCCAAACACACATTCTGGTGAAAGCAGAGCTACAGATAGATGGTGGGTTTGCTGCTGTTTGATAATTGAACGTGTCAAGCGTCAGCATTTCTGACTATGCCTGACAGGTTTCTGGTGAGAAGGTGGAAGCTAAAGGTTGCTGCAAGACAGACCTTTCAGCTGTCACACCATCACCTCTTGTCTCTGCCACCACCACTTTTTTTTTTTCTTTTTTTTTAGTATCTTACAAAGTCCACATTTCTGGAATTAACTTGCTAGTAAGGACAAGCTGCACTGTCGTGCAATACAACAGCAGCATCTGAGCCCTTCAAAATGCCGAAGGCTTTGCAACAGGCAGCAATAATTATAAAGTCACCATAACTTTTTGTCTTGCTGTTTCTCTGTCAAACTCTAAATAGGCTGTAATAGTTTATAAATGGACTGCACTCAGAACGTAACTTTTTATAAAAAGTAGCTCATTTTCTTGCAGTTCTGTGACCTCTCGCATGATCCTATAGTGCTGGTGATGGAGAAACTGAAATAATTCATTTCAGTCTGGTGAATTTGAGCTGACCAAGTACTTCCAACAGGAAGGAAAATGTAAATTATGTAAAGCAAAGTAAATCTGGATTCTTGTGTTTTTCATCATCTGTGATATTTTAGTAATGTGGGTACAGGCTTCCCCATTTTAAGCATGATTTATGTGCATATACATGTGTGTACAGATAGTACATGATACATTATATACTGTATAACAGTTCTGTTGATCGCTGCAGACTGTTGCACAGGAAGGTGAAATGAGGACAAAGTTGCCTGCAGCGCTCTGGCAGTCCCTCTGCCGAGGGGACTGGGCCACGTCCTGCCAGCTCTCTGCTGCTGAGCTGCTCTTTGTCTGGAGATGCTATTATCATCACTGTTGTTTTTCCCCATCATTCCCGAATTTTCTCCTATGGCCAAAGAGGAAGTAACATGGATGGTAGCTTAGCTTGAGGCAGCCAAGCCCTCCTTTCCTTTCTCTGGTTAAATAGGCTGGGATGGTTTTTTCTCTTTCTTTTTCCATTTCTGGGAAACCCATTAAAGCCTACCCCTCTGCTTTCCTCAGCTGTGTTTCTGATGATTCGGTGAAGCAGTACACGTCAAAGGACCATCTTGCCAAGCATTTCCAGGTTCCCGTGTTCAAGTTTGTGGGCAAAGACAACAAGGTAAGCTCAAAAGGCACCTCTTGGATATTGCATCAGCTCTGATCTGACTGAGAGGAGTCTCAGCACAGAGCTGGCTGCATCAGAGTGTGAAGGGGAGGAATGGCTGGCCCAAGGCAGATGCTCTGTGCCTCTTCCAGCAGTTGTGTCTTTCAGGAGCCTGACACACAGGTACTTTAAGAGAGTGATAAAACCAACTAAAATTAAATAAAATATGAAGGACAGCTGTGGAACATCAATGCCACAGCAGGCTAAAATGTTGTTGTTTTCAGGGTAGTCTTAGTGGACCCTCGTATGCTGGGCAAGAAAAGCGTTCCCAGTCATCAAACAGAAACCTGAGGAGTAAGGCACATTATGCAATGTCCTGTCTTTAAAACAAGACACTCTGTAGTTTTTAATCTTTTCAACCTTCCATCTTCTCTAGCTCTTGTGAGTACGGATGCCAGGTTTCCAGATGCAAGGCCACCAATGTGAAACCAGGCTGTCCAGGCTGGTGGCACTCCGGGGCACAGAAGCTTTGCAATGGGAGGACAGTTGAAGGATAATGCTGTTTTCTTAATGCAAATAGCTTTCCTTGTCTGTGCTAGAAGAAATCGGATTTTTCAGTTGCTGTTGTTGTGCTCAGCCAATGCTGCTTGCTCCAGAAGGCATAAAGCTGCTGCTCCAGCTCCTGGAGAGCCTCAGTAGGATTAAAACAGATGAGATCTTTCAAAATTCAGAAATTTTGCTTGGCTGTCTGATTGCCTCTGCTGCCTCCAGTCTGCATCCTCCCAGTCTCTGCAATGGATTTTGATTCAAACCTGACCATTGACCAAACATTCACGAATATTTTCTTCCCTAATTGCTGCTTGCAGGGTTCTTGCTTACTCTCCTTGTCATTTAGAGGGCAGGGAGCAGCAGTCCTGTCACTGCCTGCCTTTACTGTGCAAAAAGAAAATGCAGCTGTGTCCCCGCTTTTGTGTTCTCCTTCTCCCCTCAACTACCACTTAGTTCCTCATCAACCTGTGTTTTCCTCCTTTGCCCCTCTGTCTCCCAGCTTTGTTTTCTCAGCTCCCGTTGAATTCTCTTGCCCATTGCTATGAGTCCATCTCCTTGTGAGCAGCTTTGTGTGTTCTTGGCCTGCTTCCTACCATGCAGCTCCTACCAGTCCATGTGAGCTCTTTGAGGCTTATTCCTGGCATTTTCATCCCTTCCTCTGGAGAATCATTTCACACCTTCATATTCCCTATCTAGCCTTTGGCTAACAGACAGGTGCCATGCTCTGACATCTCAGCCAGCCACTCTGAGAAAACAGCCAGTGTGGCTGTGGCTGGCGATGGTGGATAAGGACCTGGTTGATGCGGGGACAGACGTGGCTGTGCCGTTGGAACGGTGTTGCTCGTGCTCTGTGAGAGCTGGCAGCACTGCTGCCCTGATGCCCAGAGCTGCGTGTTGAGCGGGGCTGCTCTCTCCCCCCAGGAGGTGTTCCTGCACTGCCGCATCCTCGTGTGCGGGGCGCTGGACGAGAGCTCGCGCTGTGCCCAGGGCTGCCGCAGGCGGGTGCGCAGGTTGGCCGAGGCCGAGCGAGAGGAGGAGGAGGAGGAGGAGGAGGAATCTGTTCACATGGCAAACCACATCCTGACAGGTGGCCCCATCAGAATCGACTTTGAAGACTAACACCCACCCACTGGAACAGCATCTCCGCCTGAGACCGTCCTTCCTTATCAGTGCCTTCTCTGTGCTTGGTTGGGAAACAAGAGGTGTATGGTAAAGCCCCACTCGAACCTCAGGACTTTTTTCCCTAAAATCCCGTGGTGATTATTTGTGAAGTATGTGGGGCACACAAGGCAGCCCTCTGAGTGCAGCCCGGACTGCAGAACAGTTTGGGTTTAGCCGCGTTTCTTCCCAACAACCCTTCAGTTAACCCTATTGCTTTGCAGGGCTGAAGTGTTACCCAGCTTTGTCTTCCCCTACATCCACCTGCAGGCTCCACAGGACTGTTTGTCCTTGACTAAACAAATGTTACTCGAGCCATTCTTTCATCAGACAATACAAATACTACCATAGCTGAATGTGTTTGCTGTGCAGTTCTGCGAATGATGCTGAATCTTTTGGATGTGATGAGGTTTTGAATGACCATTAATAAAAACATGTATATTGTATCTCATAATGTGTAAGTTCCTTGGAGCTATAAACCAGTTGCCATCACAGGCAGCTAAAGCTCAGATCTATCCCAGGCACATTTAAATGTTATTTTTAAATAGTAAAAGGTATTTAATAAAACTTGATTTTTTTCTTTAGCGTCTTTTGATAATTGCATGCAGTTTAACAGTGTTTCCTCTTCTATTTAGTGTATCATTATTTTTCTCCCTCTTCTCCCCCCACCAAAAATGTGGTGCCTTTCCTAAGTGCTGTAGCACCTCGATTGTAAGAAAAAGACCATTAAACATCTATAAACACCCCCTGTCCTAAGCGTGCTGCTACCAAGTCTTTATTTGAAAGTTGTACTGCATTACCCCAGTGTAGAGAGGCTGTGGCTCTGACAGAGGGATTGGAGAAACGCACGTCAAGTATTTATAGCAATGGTTTGTATTGCGGGTAGTTCTCGGGACAGGGTTGTCCCAGCCAGGCTGGTGACAGGAGATGTGGCAGCGCTGAGGGACTGCGGGGGCTGAGGGAGGGCGAGAGCTGGCGGGGGACACGCTTAGTGGTGACAGCAGCAGCATCGAGGTTGTCAGGAATCCCTTTGGGCCGTCAAGCTCCTTCCAGAGAAAACATAACAGATGATCAGCTCAGGCTCCTCTGGGCTTCGTTCAGCAGCAGGAGCACTGTGTGGTGAGGGATTGGAAATGCGGGGTGAAAGGAAGGAGACACAGCGGGCAGTGAGGGACAAAAGAGGAGAGGCAGGGCTGGAGGGGGAGAGGAGGGATCCGTCTCCACCGCTGGCTGTGGCACCCCAGTGTGTTCGTGAGGTTTTCTGCAAGAAGCTTCACAGTGTGCAGCTCTGTCCTGCGGGTTTGGAGGCGCGCTGGGAGTCCCCCCTAGCCTGCGTTACCTATTTTCCACTGCAGTTGGAAGCAGCCAAATTGCTGCCAAGGCCGAAATTTGTTGCTGCTTTCAAATGGATGGGGAGTCAGTTTGCAGGGACCATTTAGAAGGGAGTCACAAATCACCTCAGCTATATTCCATTCCACAGATTTATTTCTTCTGGTGAGTGAGATTCCAGTGAGGAATGGGTATTTGACACGCTGGGAGTTTCATGATTTTTCTAAATGGCTTCATGGCTGCTTTTCCAATTTGGGGATACATGCGTGTGCATGTGTGTGTGTTAGAATAAATGAAAATGTTTCTGTAATAAGTAGGTATAAGTGGAAAGACACTTTTCATGTGTTATCTAACCATATGTGAAAGGAGAAGAAATGGAAAAGTCGCCTTCTTGCATTGTTGTGCATCTCCTGTTCCTGCCGATTCCTGTCTGCACTGAGACCACACGGGCAATTTCCCACTGTCACTTCTTTGTTCAGGCAGTCCTGCTAAATATACTTGTTTTGATAAAACAAGAGCTGATAAATTAAATTAATTAGCTGGTGCCTTCTGGAGACGCAACTGGTGGTTTTTGTTCGTGTGAAAGGGACATGGGGGAGTGGTGAAGGGAGAGGTTCTTTTCCTGGCTTATTTCAATTATTGTGCACATTATTTGGTTCTTCCTGACAAATTCATACGAAGCAGCCTTTCTGCTCCACAGCTTTTTAGTTAAATAATTTGGAAGAGTAATGAGAAGGCAACACTGGTCTGCGTGGCCACGTGAATGGAGCAGTCTGGGAAGGTGTATAGTTTGCCCCGCGAGCAGGGCAGTAGGTCTACTATCCACCACTGCCCTGTGGCCATTCTGCCTCTGGTGTGGAAGGGATGGCTCCTAGGCACAAACAAAACCATTTTTCAAAGTCTTTTAGCTCTCCTCAGTTTATCTCCTGCTTCCATCTGTCGTCTTTGTCAGCGTTACACCCTGGATGTGAAATCAAAGGGCAAACTCCTCTGAGAGCCAAGGGATTTGTCTGTTTAATTTAATCTGTCACGCCATGGAGTGGAAGCACGACACGCCGCCCAAGCAGGCACTGCGTGTGCAAGGAGGCCACGTGCTGCCCGGTGCTCCTGGAGTCCAACCAGCACTGCCAACCGGAGTTCAAGGGCCGAGCTGCGTCGGTGCTGCCCAGCGTGCGCGGTCCGTGTTCTGGCTGCTGCCACTTCGTTCTCTCTTAGGATGTAAAGGGAATGTTTGAACCGTGGATGTCCAGGAGTAAGCACATATTACCTGCCATCCTAGTCCCTGCTTTTACATCCTCAGTGGAAACAGAGAGATTGCTGTTTGGGGAACCCTTACTGAGAGGGCACTCTGGGCAAACGGGTTGAACGTCATCCTGCCAGTACTCAAAGTCAAGAGGAAGCCGTCTGGCGAGCAGTGTCATCTTCCTGTTCAGAGCAGGCTGGAACAGAAGATGACCCAAGGTTTGTGCATTAACCTGGAGAGACCCGTGGTCAGCTGCTTCGGTGGCTGTTACACCCCTGGGTAGCAAGAACTGATTTTTAGTTTGGATGCAGAAGTTTTGCTGTAGTTCATGAGCCGGTTTTCTCCTACGCAGGTTCATCTGTCAGTTCTCTTTGAGTCAACAGCCACCACTTGAAGGTTCAAAAGTGTCCTTGTAGAGCTGCTCATGGGGTTTTTCAGATTACTACAGTTTAATTTTCTAGTGAAAAATGCGTTTACTCAGTAAGTGCCCTGCATGCAGCAGTCTGTAGTGTTTTGGGATGGATGGTGGTCTGAAAGCATGAAGAAATTATGATTTATATTAGTGTTGTCTCCAGAGCATCAGTGTGTGGATAGGGAGATTTTGTTCAGAACCCTTCAATTTCTCCAGTGTATATCATCATCTGTCATCAGTTACTTGGCCTGGCTTTAATCTGATATCACTTGAACTGTAAAATGCTTTAAGACATTTGCCAGCCAGGCGACTATTGAGCATAGACAAGATAGATTTTTAAAATTTTTTTATAATGGTGCCATTTAATCATAAGAGTATGGTCACGTTTAAAACTGGCAACAGGCACCATTTCACCAACAAAACACAAAGTTCAGGAAGTGTCTGGAACGAGGAACTTTTCCTTCCCATCCCTAGCCAAAAATATATGTTTCTTATGTGGATAATCAGATTGTCTGTCCAGCCTCATGCTCTGATAGACACGCTCTGCGATGAACCTTGGCAATGCAGTGTTTGCTCTCCAGCGGCATTGGCACGCTAGGAAAGGATGTGATTGCATCTAATCAGTGTAAATTAAGGTCCTCTTTATTGGAAAACGTCCCAGTACACCTCATGCAGTCACTTCCATTTTCCTGGTCTTGATACCAGTGGGCTCTAGTTGTTTCAGTCTGTCTGGGGCCAGATGAATGTCTCATTGCTGTTCACTGCAAAGCAAAGATGACGGGCAAGAACAGGAATACAGGGCTTAAATAATTTATAGCTCTGTGCATGCATTTAAACACAAACTAGAAGAAAACTAACTAAGACAGACTCCATTCTTGTTAAATCACCCTTCTGTAGCCTTAACTTTTCTGCGGCAGATGGAAGAAGATAACCATAACTATGTTTGCAGAAAATGCTGAAATATTTATGTGGCATGGCACGCGCACCCCGTAGCAACTTCCTTTCAACAAGAAACACAGATGAAAGCTGTCTGCAAATGTTATATGTAGATGAAATTCCAAATACCTCTTTAAATTCTAATTCTGCATGCAATAAAAGCTCCCGCTAGCAGATGGAAGTATTAACCACGTTTGAGAAAGAATGCCGTCTGGGGCTGCTGATCACTCCTCGGCTGGCAGTGTCTCTGCCCTACAGAGGTAGCAGGGAAGCCCTGCCACCTGACAGATCAGCCTCCAGAATTTGGAATACCTCATCCAAGGCAACTGCGAGCCTCCTGTTTTCCCTCGTGTAAATGATGGAGGTGGATACCCAGCTGTTTTCTGTAAAAAGGGATCCTAAGGGAAAGGCTTTGTTAAATGATATAGGAGGAAAAAAATAGTTCTGGATGACACTGCAAAAGAAAAGCAGCTTCCTCTCCTGAGACTGTGGGAGAGTGCTGTGATTCCACACGTCAGATGTGATGGGCTTTGCACCCCTTCTGCCCAAATACAAATTCTGCCAGTACCACAAACATTTAAAAGTCCTTCTCACGCTTTCCAAATCCCCGGGGTGGTTTAAACTGTTTTAGGATCAACTAAGTGTTTAAATAAGCAGGGTTGTCAGGGTGTGTAACGATAGGATGGAAAATGTCAGGGATGGGTGTGAGCAACATACTGAAATTAAATTACCCCTCTTCTTCAGTCTGTCACCAGTGGTGGAATTATGTAAATAGTGTGTCCATGGACTGGGGTTTTCAGGGGTTGCAGAAACCTGATGCCTTGCACTGCAAATCAGAGAGTTAAGGGGCAGGGGAAGCTAATACGTGTGTGTCTGAGGCAAACAAACAAGTCAAGCCCCTTGTTTATAACCAGTGCTGCATCCTGCTTGCCTCTCCTGATCAGTCTGTAGAGAAAATTGGCATTGGGTCCTTCAGGCTGATGGACTTGGAAAGGGGTAGGGCTGTTGACCTGCATCTGTGGTGGAGGGCAGGCACCACTGCCCTGCAGTGCAGGCTGTCTGCCCCCTCGCAGCCCCCTGCCCAGAAGCTGTGGTCGCAGGGTGTTGCTTGGCCCAGGTCCCCCCGTCCCGTGCTCGGCCAGCGGGCTGACAGAAATGGCAGTGCTGAGGTGCGGCGTCGGAGAGGGGACGCTTCTGGCAGCAGGCCGGCGGAGAGCGGGCGTCTGCTCTGCCTCACAATTCATCTCGCTCTTCCTCGCTGCAAATGCAGGCGCTCCTTTGGCTGTTCATGAAGGGCCGGCAGCCCAGGGTCCAGACGGCGTTGAACACTGTGTCTGCGACGGATTCACAGGCTGCGGGGAAGGAAACCATCGGGCGGTAAGTGACGGGCACAACGGGGTGTCTGAGGGCTGGGTGGAAGCACCTCGAGCCCTGCGCTGGGCTGTGTGGTGTTTGCAGTGGGAAGCGTGGGCTGCCGTCTTCTCTCCGGGTATTGCCTTTTATAAACCCAGAGGTTCCCTTCTGCTGAACTGCAGCGGCTTTTCTCCCTAGGGTGGCACCAGTCTGGCCCTACCTTCCCCCCCCGCCCCTAGCCCCCCTCCTTTCTTGCCTCTCCCAGGCTTTTCTGGTTGATGGATTGCTTGGAGCACTGCAAATAGCGCTGTTTATCAAGCAGATTCCCCAGAGAACCTCCACAGTACTGTCTTTCCTGGCTTGCTATCCCCTCAGTTTTGCCTATAACCACTACCAACAAACTTTTCCTGCTTTTTGGGAGTTACGGTGCCAGCTGCTAGCCAGCGTGAAAAATCCTCCTGCGGTTGCAACAGCAGAGCTGTCGATACAGCCCGCCTGACTGCTAGCCCCCTCCTTTTCCCAAAAAA